TCACTCTCCCACAGGATGGAGATCACCACCGCGGGTTCCGGAAACGCTTTCATGGGCATGGAGACGAAGTTGAGCGTAAGTGTTTTTATTACACGCAGGCAATTACGCAGTTTTATTCAAGGCTGAATAATATCACTCGGTGGGAAGAGAATGAAGAACCAATTCCGTTCTCTACAAACCCATCCCAGTCCACTCAAGTGGTTCCTGGGGAGATGGCCTGCAGACAGACGGCGATTCTGTTGCTGTGACGACAGCCTCTCGTCCTTCCAGTGTGTTCGCTGGCCACACCACTAACAACGAGACGAGGAAGCAGTGAGGCACACAATTCCTCATGTGTGCAAACACCCACACCGTCGCCAGAGGATCGGCCAAACCTTAGGTGGCCCAACGACTTCCTGACCTGTCTTTCTGCCCCCCCCCCCCCCCCCCGCGTGTAAAGGAGCTGCCCCTCTCGGAGGGCACACGGTAGCTTGCTGAACTGGACAGGCTCCGACCAGGCTTCCGCCACATGACGCTAAGAGAGGCAGAACGGTGTGGTCCTCCAGTCAGTACGTGTGAGAAAGCAGGACTCCCAGGGTCCAGACCACCTACAGCTGACTGCGACGACAGCAAGGACTTGACCTTCTTCGAGAAGTCTGAGAGAGCGGCCGGGAAGCTGTGCTGCCCAGTCTGCGTCCGGGGTCGGCGTGGAACTCCGCCCCCACAGCACAGCCCCCACCCCCACGACGGGACTGACCTGGGTGGGCAGGCTTCCACGACCCACTGGAAAGCAAGCACCCAGCTGCTGACCACAGATGCCACTGCAGCAGAAGCCTGCCCCCCTCACCCCTACCTGAGCCGTGAGCTGGAGCTGGAGCAACTGCAAGCCTGTCCTCTGCAGGTGGCCCTCATCCCTGTCATCCTTCGGTGCCGTTGTCATGGAGAAGAGACAGCACGGCCAAGCCTTCAGACCGGGGCACGGGACAGGAGTGGGAGGCCGCACGCCCAGCCCCGAGCCGCTGCAACGCACCCTCCCGCAGGCGGCCACTGTCCGGCTTCCCTTGAGTAAGAGACTCACTCTCCTGTGTCTCTTTCGTGTTTTGTATTTCTTGTTGAAAACTGGACATTTTGGGCAATGCATTGTGGAAACCTCGGTTCCTGATCCGCCTTCCTGCCTTGCGGAGCCCACACTGGGTCTGTTTCCTTGGAGACTGCGGCTCCCAGAAGGGCCCCGTGCGGGGGCAACACAAGCAGCCGGGGACAGTGGTTTGACAAGGGCTTGTGTCGACTGTCTCCCCTGCTCCCTCCGCCAGCCGTGGATCAACCTGTTGAGCCCGCCGATTACCGATGGGTCGCTCTCCCGTTCCACCGTGGCCTGGGGCTTCTGGCTCCCCTGAGTCTGGTCCGGTCACCCAGGGCAGGGTCCTTCCACAGCACAGTTGGAGGTTCGTCCCGCCCCAAAAGCACTGCCCACAGCAGCCCGAGGGTTGGCTTGTTGCTGGTTCTAGGTGGCACTGCACCCTCCAAACCTCAGAAAGTGACTGTTTGGAGATGGGCTTATAAAGAGGCGATTACATTAAACTATGGCTGCCAGGGAGCGCTGATCCAAACCGCCCAGGTCCATGCAGGAGGAGGCGGCTAGGACACGGAGACACTGGGGCAGCTGCCTACACAGGACAGGCCCTCTGAGCCCAGGACAAGAGGCGGTGTCTGAAAGCCAAGGAGACAGCCCTCAGGAGGAACCAGCCCTGCCGACACCTTGACCTTGGACGTCTGGGTCCCAGAATGTGAGGAGTAAATGCCTATCCTTCCGGCCCCCAGCAGCGGCGGCCCAAGCAGACCCCAAACTCTCATAACTGAGAACAGCTATTGCTCTGAGCGTCCCCGCTGCTGCTGTGAGCAAGTCAAGTCCCTTCCTTTATGGAGGGTCTCCCTGTCCCACAGGCTGCTCCTCCCCTGGGCGAACCTCCCTGCCGCCCTTCTGGGGCCGTGGCGGCGGCGGCCTCTGGTCCTCCGGCTTCCTCCCATGATATGAAACAGCCACATTGACTGACCGAGCCAGGGAGCAGCCACTGGGGCCCGTCTTCACAGCCTCCAAGAGAACCCTCAAGCCACCACAGCACTCACTGGGAGTTGGGCATCTTCCACTGGAGCTGGTGGCTGTCCACCCTGGTGGCATCCAGGGGGCCTCGGCTGGGAGCTGAGGGAGAGGGAACCGTCCACGTGGTCCCCACATGCCTGGACCTGCCACCAAGCAGAGCTCGGACGGTGGGGGCCTAGGGGCCAGGGAGGTCGCTGTTCTCACGGGGTTAGCAGACTCTTCCCGTGAAGAAGTGTCCACAGGGCAGTGTCCAGAGGCCTCCAGTGCTGCTTAGCCGGAGCTGCTGGTGTTACTCAGGAGCAGGAGCCCAGTGGTCCCCACCCCAACCCCGGGAAGTGCTCTCCTGCACGGCCTTCCCACCGCACCAGCACTTGCTACAGGTGGTGTTTTCAAAATGTGGCCCCAACGGTGCCCCCTCGACATCTCAGTGCCCCTCCCTACCCCGAGGTGAGAGATGTCCTTCACAGCCCTGCTTGGCCAGCGCCCGATGACCTCTTCCAGGCCCGGCCGCCTCCTGAGGTTTGCCGGCCTGGGCTGCTGGTCCCCAGACCTGGGGTCCACATAGCCCCTCCTCAGCACCCCCTCACCCCGCACTGCTGAGCCCAGGCCTCACCCCTGCGGCTCAGCCAGGGTAGCACTACGCACACTCAAAAGGCAACAGCCTTGACTCTGTCCGCTGTGTTCAGTGGGTCCTCCCAGAGTAAGGGCCAGGGAGCCCTTGCCCAGTGGCTGGGCAGCCCCATCCACCTCCAGCACTGCACGCGGGCCCTCTGCCGACTCCCAGATAGGGGGAGCTGGGGTGGAGGAGGGCGGGAGGCCTCTGCAGGGGCCGGGGCACATGGGGTGCTGTATGGGGGTGGGGGCTGGGCCTGCGCCCCGCACCTGGCCTGGACAATGTGGGGTCCCCCCTGCAGGCCTGCGTGATCTTTATCTGGGCAGGACCCCCAAACCCACCGCCAGCCCTGTGCTGGGGCGGTGCTGAGGACAGCCAGCGGGCAGTGGCCCACAGGTCCCCAGTCCCTGCCCACCCCCAGCGCGGCCCTTCACCTGCACCACCGCTGCAGCTGCAGCCCTTGTGAGCCGCAAATAAAGGGCCGATTCTGGTCTCCCTCAGCCACCTTTAGTTTTCTCAGAGACCCATTGAACAGGTGAGAGGAGTGGGAAGCTGGTGCATTCCCAGGAGAGATGGTTCATTATGTCCGACTGAACCCGCAGAGGTTCCGGGGATTCTGGGGTCCCCACGTCTGCCTCCGTGTCGGTGATTCTCAGGTGTTCAGGTCGCACTTCACAGAAGCCCCGAAGTCCCTGGCCGCGGTGCCCATCCCCCTCCTGGGTCCTGCTCAGAGCACCATGCATGCAGCACTGCTCGCGTCAGGCCGCCCTCGGATTCTGAGGTCCTTTCTAAAGCATCCAGGCCTCTCCTTTGCTGCTGTTACATCACTATACTTTTTCTTTTTAGAACTCCAAGTTGAAGTTGGAATCACTGCCACCGACTTAGATGTGGCTCATTTGTACCTGCATCCTCCGTGAAAGCTTCAGAAGAGCAGGAAAAAACAGGGCTTGCTCCGCCCGAGACAGGTGAACACTGTCACCTGGAGGGAAGGCACTGGTGTGCCTCCCACACCCTCACACCCGATACGTGGGGCAAGGGCGGCCTGAAACACCACCTCAGCCTCTTGCACCCCCGCCCCCCACCCCACCTGCCCTGCGCTGGGCCTGGGGGCGCTGGGCCCCAGTGCAGCCTCTGCCTCGAGCTCCTCTCGGGCAGGCACTCATTTTCTCTGAAACGTGCCAGCTCCGCGACTTCAGCTGGATGGTCCTGCCAACCCCCCAGTGGCTGTGCCTCCCCTCCACACACAGGAAGGCACCATGCTCACGACCAATGCGCTGTGCGTCTGTCTCCCACACCTGCCGCGGAAGATGTGGCCCCCGGTCGTCACTAGAGCCCAGCAGAGCGGTGCTGTCAACTGCGTTTGCTGAGCCACGTGAGCACACTGGACGATTCTTGAATGAAACCCCTCCCTCCTGCACCTGTTTCTCTTCTGGACGTCAAGCCACTTGCTTGCTGTGGCCTGATGTCACCCTCCATGTACAGCTAAGCCTCTGAAGTCTGCACCCACGCATGGAGCCTGCGCGGAGGTGCTGGCCTGCGGCACCCCAGCGAGGTGCTGGGGGCCACCCGGGCCGCGGACGAACCGCTGCAGGCAGACGTGACGCCACCACCCAAAGCCCCAGAGCTGGGGGCTGGAGAAGAAGCCAAACGGGGATTAACCACCTGAGCCTCGTCTCCCCAACTCCCAGTCCCTCTCAGAGCATCGAAACCACTGCACATGGACACCCTGGCTCTGGTGTGCAAGCATCCGGTCCCACCGGAGGGACCCCTGGGGGTTTCCGCAGCCCCAGGACACGCAGCCCCAGCCCAGCACTGCTGCTCCGAGGCCAGGAAGGAATGAGACACAGGGACACCCAGGTGGCTGCAGGGCCAAGCCCCTTCGGGGGCAGCTCCTGGGTGCTGGTGGCCCTGAGTGCCACCCCCCAAGTGCGGCCCTCCTGCATGTCTGCGCCCAAACGCAGAGCTAAACAAGCACCACTGGTCCCTGCGCTCTGACGCGCCTCCAGGGCGCCCCGTGGACTGACGCCCTGACGACTGGGGGCTTCTGGATCCGAGGAGGCACCAAAGGGGAGCGTCCCCGAGAAACGGTCTCCCTGACGCCTTGGAAGGCCCGGGGCCGAGGGTCGGAGACCCACCCCGGGGACCCGCAGCCTCATCTTGCCAGTGTGCGCCACCTGGGGCACAGGAGAGTGGGGCCTGACGGGACGGGGCGGGGCGGGACGTGCTGGATGACTGAACAGACGGGGGGGGGAGTCTGGCGCTCGGATGGAATCTCTGTCAGCACTACGAAAACAACAGCAAGTCCACTTAAATACATATAAAGTTTATTAAAAATAGGCTGAGAGTGAAATACAGTAGAAATGGAGACTACAGCAGTTTGGATGACTCTGCAGAGCAGGGCAGCCACGAAAAGCGACTCCACACCCACTCCTGTCCCGCCCGCCGTCCAGGATGGCCAGCCCCGCCTGCTCAGGAGTCAAGGACCACACACACACACAGCCCTGTGCACAGGTGCTTCCATGTACGCGCATGTACGTGCGTGCGTGTGTGCGTCCTTCCTACATATTAACAGAACAGTAGTTCGCTGCGTCGTGTTGAAAGAAAGGGCGGCTCTCGCCCTGCAAGGCTGCCGTCTGGCCCGCACCGGGAGGCAGCGTGCAAGCCCTTCGCGAGCAGAGGCGCGCCCACTCTCGTGCTGGGCTGAGGGGCAGGGTGAAAGCACACTTCCAAGTAAGAGCCCTGATACACACCAAAATATGTACACTCGCATTTTAATGACTTATCGTACAACTCTTATTACAGTGATTTCTAAGGCGAGAGAGACCCCACCCCCACCCCGCTGCAGTTTGGAAGTGTGCGCGTCTCCCTGACACCCGCGCCTCTCAGTGAGTGGGGCGGCGCCGAGCGGGCTTCCAGGCCCCGCATCAGGGCTGGGTCAGACAGGACACCTGCCCACGATCAGAGTGATTCACTGATTTAACGTCACACGAGAAAACAGAGTGAGGTCCATCTCCCCAACATCAGCCATATATTCATAGCTGAGAAAATGACAGTGGTAACTATAATTCAACCAACAGAAATTAAATAAGTCTATCAGAGTGTAAAAACCAGCTTGAACTGCCGCAGGAGTCACCCCACAGACGGGAGCTGCAGAGGCTGCTCGTGCAGCCCCGCCCGCCCCGCCTCCGACCGCACCGGGGTGAGAGGCCCCAACCCGCGCTCCGCCTGGGGCTGTGCCCAACTCCTGTCCACACTGCAGCCAGCACGGCCCCTTCCACAGCTCCCTGTGCACGTCGGAAACAGCCAGCTTGCTGACGTTAACTGCCACCTTCAAAACCACCCATAATTTACTGTAATAATCTAGTGTTTACAGAAACAAAATTTCCTAAGCTTAAAGCCTCAACATTTTGTGTTCAAAAAACCTCTCCAATCAAACAGGCAGACCTAATTCAGGAGGGCGTGCCCTGAGAAGGCACAAGAGGGACCAGGTCCCTGCTGCCAAGGACAGGGGGAGGGACAGGGAGGTGCTGAGGCTGGGCCACGCCTTCCCCGTCCCCTCTCCTGGAAGGTCCCCGACACCCTTGTCCCACAATCCCCAGTTGCCACTCAGCAGCGCAAACGACAGTCTGGGCAGTTCGAGCTGTCCTCTGAGAGCTCAACTCGAGTGTGTGAGAAGAGACCACTGTGTGCTCCGTGGGGAAGACAGGAGAGAAGAGACGTCCCCTTTGTCGCGGCCCCCCTGAAAAAGACACTGACGGAGAAAGTCTTCCTGTGAGTCAGACAGTTGAGAAATTGGACAGTGTTTAGGCTGCACACGTGACAACCTCCCGTAAAGCCAAGTGGCCTCAGAACTGGAACGCCCCTGACCCCCACCGTCCTGGAGACAGACCCTAAGTGGCTGGAGAGAAGGCCCTGCTCCGTGCTCAGGCTCACCGGGCCGTGCTAAGAGGACTTGGGGCGGACAGAAGGTGCCCTTTCTCATTTCGTGTTCAGTTCGTTCTCCAGTTCTGTTAGTTTACGAGAGGCTTTCACTTTATTAGACACGTCTTGACCTTGGGAAAAGAGACGCTGGCGCTCCTTGAATGTCAAGTTCTCAGGGGCTCCCGAACTGGCAGGAACGTCGGCCTCTTGGCTGCAGGAGAGGGAAAGGCAGACAGCACTGGTCAGAACGGCCACGGCAGTCCCCAAGCAGGTGGTTTACGTCAGGGGGCAGTTTGGTGATGTTTCAGGGAGCGCACACCTCGTTCTCTGAGTCGCCCTCCCCTGAGTGAGAAGTCAGAGGTGGACACCAGCACCTCCTGGCTCGGCCCAGGGCTTTGCAGGCTGTGCAGGCCAGAGAGGTCCGATGAGGGCCCAGGGGAGGACGCCGGGAAGGGCAGGAAGCCGGTGCCACCAAGGCACTGCCCTCAAACCCACCACCTCCCGGGGGAGGGCTCCTGCCGTGCTGTCTTGTGAGCCTGCATCCACCCCTGCCAGGGTCCACTGCATGAGCAGTGAGGCACGAGCAGCGAGCTTGTGCACCCCCAAACCGTGGCCCCAGGCACACGGGGTGAGGAGCGGGACCACACCGGCAGAGGTGTGGTCCAGGGCAGACACACTACCTTTTAGCTGCTTTCTCTCTCAGGTCCAGATAAGCCTCAGGGGCACTGGTCGCCGTCCCAGAAGACCCCGCAAAACAGTCTGGTCCTTTTGCACAAGAAAGAAAGTCAAAGTTAAAGCACCTGCATTATGTGCAAAGCCTCACTCACGAGAAGGGTGCAGCGCCCGTGGAAAGCGACACTTCTGACCACTAACTGAGGAAGACAAGGCTCTTCTCTCAGGAGCCCGAGTCCTCCAAGCACTGCCCTGCCAGGTGCTGAGCCAGCAGCCTCCGCCCCTTCCTGTGGGGGAGGGGACCGCCGACCATTTCTGATGGAACAAAACTCACGGACACTGTAAACCCACAGGAAAGCCCCACGAAGACTGACCTCAGTGGGGAGGCGGCAGCGTGTCAGACACTCCTGACACTGAGGCTTCCTGCAAAATCGCCAGTTGAGTGCGGTCCCCGGGTTAAGAAGTTATCATGTGGCTGAGATTCTTTTTGAGGGCAGCTTCTGAATTTTTCCAAAATAAATGGCTGCAATCGTTAAACAAAACCTTGCACACGAACGTGCTGCCCAGCACCCTGCGATGGCACTAGTGCTACAGCTACAGGACCAGGGACGGCAGACACACAGCTGAAGCAGCCTGGGGGGCGAGGGGCCCTCCGACTGGAGCCACCCACCGTCTGCCCCAGACTGTGGGGGGTCCAAAGACAGGATGCAGACTCAGACAAAAGGCTTTAATGCATCCAGATGACCGACTCTTGCCTGTGATGGTGAGTATTAAAATCGTACAGCATTAAAACCATGCTAATGTATCCCTATTAACTTTAACTGAACAGGACAAAGGAACTTCCACACTGAGAAAACCTTTTGCTTATAGTAACCCAGGCTGGAGCGATGGGCGCTCAACCTGCTCAGCACATTGAGGGGCAGTGGGCTGGACTCAACAGGGCTCGGAACTCTGGCTCCATGTCAACCTGGGAAGCATCCCACTGGCCAAGCTGCTCCAACCCCACCCTGTGCGCCCACACGCGTTGGAGACGGCCCGGGCCCCGTGGGAGCAATTCCCCTGTGCGCTGCACCCTTCCTCATGACTCAGTGCAGGTCCCCCGGCACCACGTACATAGTGTCCCCCACAGCAAAGGCTCAAAAGATTAAACAGAAACCGCCTCTAACTGAGGGTGATCCAGATCAGGCCTTGAGATATGTTACTTGCATAAAAGCTTTTCAGTTCCAATTCCAAGTTGTTTCATTCTGAAAAACGTTCTCTTTTGAGCTTTGCTTTCAGAATACTTGTTTCTTCCACTGGTCAAAGTCATGTTTTGAACATTTGCAGGTCGTCAGAGTGTCACGTGCTCTCTAACAGCCACACAGTAATGACCTGCCTGTGGCAGAGGCCATCACGGAGCCTCGGTCAAGGGCGCTTTTGGCCTGGGGTCGGCGGGGGGGCAGTGACACCCTGCCCGCCTGCGCAGTGTCCAGTGGAAGGAACCGTCTGGGCTGCAGAGCCGCGTCTTCCCAGCGCACACAGGACAGGACAGAGCTGAGCGTGGGTGCAACAGTGTGAGGGAGGTGACAGAGGGACACCAGCTGTGCATTTCAGGAGACAGGCTTCAGGGAGCAGGGAGGCAGGGTGCACGGGCTTCGGGTGTGAGACAGGACGGGGTTCGTGGTGGGACCGAAGGCCAGGGTGAGTCGAGTGCCTGCTCCAGGACTCCGCCACCACGCCTCGTGTTTGTCTGCTGCGACGTTTATAAAGCATCTCACACTCAGCCTGCACTTTGCTGCAACAATCCCTGCTATTCCACCACAGTCTAAAGATACGGAACCGCAGGTCTGTCTCAGGCGGCAAAGCCGCCTGTGGCACGAGGCCTGGCCACGTGGCTGTGAGGACTAAACTCCTGCCTGGTGGGGGATTCGGAAGAGTCCTGTGCTCACTGAGTGACACCACTCAACGGGAGCCTGCACTGCCCGCACTCCGGTCTGGTGGAAAGCACTTGGCTCGTCTGAAATCCCAACCCTCATAACTTAGTGCTATTTTCAGTGTGCCTTCCAGGACTGTCTCAGAAACATCACGAACTCGGGGCCTGCAGCAGCACAGGCAGGACCGCCGGGCTGGGTCGGAGCCCGAGGCCAGCACTGCCCTGCACTGCTCAGAGGAGGGAAGGCGAGGGCAGGAAGGACGTAGGGCCGGCAAGTGCACAGACACCCAGTGCCGGGTTTGTGGCAGGGGCAGCTTGGCACCCAGCTATTCCCCCTACCCAGCATGGCAAGCACTGTAGCCGCGAGGGGTCCCGGCCACACCACCACCATGTGGCACGTGAGCCTGGACAGAAAGTCCCACTTCAGTTATGTGCAGAGCCTAACATGTGCCGCGACAGTTAGTGAGCGGAACCGAGGTCCAGACGCCAGAATGTGGGGAAGGGCACGTGGCCAGCGGGACGCAGGAGTTATGTGCAGAGGCAGAGGGTGAAGGCCGAGACCAACAGTACTGAGGGGAGGAGGAAGGGAGAAGGACCAACTGCAGCCAGCTCAGCTGGTGGGAGAGGGCGTCTCAGAGTATCAATCACGAGGAGAGCGTCAGCAAGACACTGCAATCCAGGGAGAGGGAGGCCGCCCCATAGCGCCCAGGGACCGAGCCCGACCCAGACTCCGCAGTGAGCGCGGCCAAGGGGACTGCGCCCCGCGGGCAGTGCAGGCAGAGGCCAGGATCCGGTCAGAAAGACAGAGGGCCGGTGGGCGGTGCTGCTGGTTACCTCTACCTCTGGAGGGGCCGAGATGGCACAGGCTGGCGGTTTTTGGAGGGGGCAGGGGCTGGCCTGCTTTGTGGGCAGTACTGTTGGCACTGGCCGAGGGTGGCTGGAATGAGTTGGACAGAAAGATGCCATCGGAGGCCGGGCGCGGCTGGCAGGGGGGTCGCTGCAGCTTAAGGGCGGCAGGAGGACGGAGCCCGTGAGACGTCCTGGGGCCGGCACAGTCATCCTGACCTGTTGGGCCGCAGTCCTCCTCCTCCTCCTCGTTGTACGCAACGTACTTGGCGGTGTACAGGGAGTCGGGGGAGAGGGCCTGGGCCTGCAGGGAGGAGGCAGTGCGCTGCGGTGGTGGGGGCGGCACGTGGGCCGTGGGCGACAGGGCCGCAGGCTCGTAGCCCCGGGGCAGTGGCGGGCGGCCCAGACCCGGCTCCAGCTCTGGCTCCTCGGGCCCCAGCAGCCGGCGCTCAGCCTCCTCGTGCAGTCTGCGCCGCTCGGCCTCCAGGCGGCTGTAATACCCTTCCTCCTGTCGCCTCTGCGGGCGGAGACAAAGGGCGAAGGTCAGAGGAGGTCAGCAAGGGGCGCCAGCCCACTCACGGGGCTCACAGGACAGCAGAGGGGAGCCCCGCCCGCAGCCCCGTCACCACACTGACAAGGAACGTGGAGTCTGACAGCCACAGCAACCTGGGAGCGGCCTGCTCCAGACCCACGAGCCCGCCCGCGCATCTGCAACCGTGCAGCACAGAGCCGCTCACGGGCAGGGAACCCTGCACTTCCAGGTCCCCTCAGGCTCCTGCACGCAGTCTGCACGGCGCGGTCGCGCCCCATGTTCCCACCAGGCTCTCAGGCCCCCCCCCCCGCCCTCCCATGCCCTCCCAGTCTCTGTCTGTCTCCTGCTTCCGTTACAACGTGAACTTACCTGGGACTGCTGAGTTTAAAGACAAAAAGAGCCCCACAGAGACTCCAACTGGCTTCCTGCAGCCGGCATGTCCAGGGCAGACCCGCTTCCCCGCCGCCCCCGCCCCCCGGCTGCCCAAGGGGGGCGCCCTCCCCACAAGGAGGGTATGATTGAGTCGCCTGGCCTGTCCCCAGCCACTCTGAGAGAGAGCGACAGGACGCCGTCAACTGTGAGAGCATCACTCGCTTCCCCAGAGCAACACACTAGTGCGCTCCCCACGGCCCTCGACTCACACGGCAGGTCTTCAACGCCCTGTCGGACAGAAAGCTGGAGCGACAGCAACGAGACAGTCCACGAGATGTATTGTGACACGTGTCATACATTTTTTTCTGACATACATCCGCAAAAACGCCAGTTGACAGTGTTAAAGTTACTTTAACATTAGAAAAGGATAACAGCACAATTTTGTTCAAGGTTGACAGAACTTTCAGAACACAGAAAGAAAGTGAGTGCGGGGAAGAGAGACCCAACAGGAAGTCCTCGGCCGTGACGAGAACGGTGCGTTTTAACTCCGCTCAACCGAGGCACACTGACTTCAGGGACCTCGCTGGCATCAGGGTTCAAGTTGTTGGTCCCATGTCAAACTGTGCGCCTGTGCTTTCTCCCTGCTGCCTCTACACACACACGTGCACACACACACTCACACACTCAGAGTGAGTGAATACACACTGGTCATCACTTCCCCTTCTGAGGAGATATCCCTAAGAGCAGATGCCTGCCCCAGTTCTGGCCTGGACCCAACTTTTCACTCTATCTTCTTCCTCTATGTTGAGACATCCTGAAGGGAAAGCTTTTTTTTTTCTTATTTTCTACACAAAATATAGGTGTCCTCTGGGGGGGGGGTGGACTCAAAATGCACAGCGTGCCCTGCAGCTGCCCTGGCCACGGCCCTGGCCCTGGGTCTTAGCCGAGAGCAGGGGCGGCCCTTCCAGGGAGCCGGCACGCCTCCCTGTGCCAAGAACAGACCCAGCGATGGGCCCGAGAGGCCTCACTCCGCCCAGCAGTTCTCCACCACAAAGCCAACCCACCGGTTTGGAACAGTCTGTGTGGGACAGCAGGTCACCCGGCTTCTTCTTGCATCAGCCACTCGACCACAGAAGCAGGCACTACAAACCAAGCGCCTCTGCTGGGCCTGTGCATGCGCAGTGCGTCCGAGGAGCACTGGCCCTGGCGCACCTGCAGGGCTCCAGAGGTGGGGGGAGGGTGGGCGTGTGCTCTGGGACAGCTGAGCAGGCGAGGAGCCAGGGGAGTGGGCTGATGACAGTGGGACCCCAAACACCACACCAACTGGAACATCAGGGGCCTAGATTCCAGAGAGACTATCGGGTGGCTTCCCCACACAGGGCGATGCCAGGCTGAGCCGCCCGAAAGCTCAGACTCCCCGAGGACAGCTCCAGGCTGTCGGACACAAAGGGTGGCTGGAGGAGGGGCTGTGCAGTGCAGACACCGGTGGGGCCCTCGGGGGCTGCGTCCTCTCTGCAGGCGGGGAGGGCGTTCTGTGCATACTGTCCCCGGGCCCTTACGGGAGGCGTTTTTAACAAACCGGGTGTGGCACTTGGGCTCCCACCATCCCAGAAGGGAAGCAATAGCACATGCAGGGCCCAGGGTGCCCGGGGCCACCCGGCGGGGCCTGGCTGAGCACAGGGCGGGGAAGGGCAGCATCACACGGCTCCTGCCCCAGCACAGGCCAAAAGGGCTGTCCCGTTAACATCCCACTGAAGGGGTTACTTGAACAAAAAACCCGCACGTGGGTACAAAGTAAGACTCAGAACTCCACCAGGTTACACACTAAGTTAGTTTCCCATTTCTTGTTTTTTATGAGCCACATGCTCTCTTCGGCATCAACTGGAATAGAGTCATTTCAGGAAACAACCTATTTAAGACACTCAGCATTAACACACTGTCTTCCTACGCCCCTGGTGCTTCCTACAGCTCCAGCCCAAGGTGAGCAGAAACAGAACCGCTGGCCGCTCCCCAGCAGCTGCCAGCCCACGTCACGGCCAGGAAGGACAGAGCTGGGTCAGCAGCCCCAAGGCGGAGGCTCATGCCGGCCGGGCCCAAGAGTTCAGAAGTCAGAGAGAGACACGCAGAAGACAGGGGTCTGGAGACGGCTGAGGACAGAGGTAGGTGGGCCAGCAGGCTCCAGTGTCTGGTCCAGGAAGAGAAGCTGGGCGCAGGCCCGCTCTGCCCCACACGCCTTGGGGCGCATGCCAGTGCCAGCCCCGCTGCGCCCTACAGGACCCGAACCTTTGCCTCGGCGTCTCGCCTGCCTCGCTCCTCCTCCTGCCGCAGCCGCTGCTCCTCCTGCCGGGCACGCTCCTCGGCCTCTCGCTGCCGCATCTCCTCCAGCTGCTGCTGCCGCCGGCGCTCCTCGTCCTGCAACTGACAACAGGGTGCCCTTAGCCTCCGCCCAGCGGCCCGCCAGCTCAGAGCAGCAGCACACGGACACGAGCAGACACACGCACACAGAGCTCACACGGAACACAGGCTCCAGCATGGCCCAGACGGTGTGACCCAGAGCTCTGCAGTGGCCGAGGACGTCGCCCCAAAGCGCTGCCCCCAGCCCCAGAATCACCCGTCCATGGACCGTGCAAAAGAGAATGCATTTCACTCGCACACTCTCGCATCAAACGAGCACGATTACTTTGGGACAACACGTTTGAGTTAACCAGTTCACGTGAACTAGCTATGTGAACAGGCAACCCCAACCACCTCTCCCCGTGCATTCTGGTGGCCGCTGTGTGTGTGGACACGGCTGCACCTCTGGGCGGGCAGCATGGCAGGCTGTGACCTGGTCTACAGGGACATGCGGTCCTGGGGGCTGAGTTCCTTTTGTCTGCTCCTATCCTGGGCCTCTGCCACCAGCAGTTTGATCTGGACCCATCTGTTCAGGGAGACCCCCAAACGCTGAATCGCAGAACCGGAACTGTGGGAGAACCTTCTTCGAAGTCTCTTCTGCTGCCTGTCTGCCAGTAACCCCGGTGCTGCTGGGACATGCTCTCGAGGGAGCCCACCTCCCAGGACAGCACATCCTAGTCTCAGGCCACCGGCTGCCACCAGGCTGTCATTCTGAAATGCATCAGCTGCTTGTCATTACCTTCCCCCCCCCACCATTCCAACACTCCAGGGTCTCTTCAGAATCTAAGCCAAATATTCTCTATGCGTTTCAGCTCCTTTGTCCTTGTCCTCCTGGTCCATGTTCCCATGCACTCACTCCAGGCAGAAACTGCCTTTTTTAAGAGAACCCTGAATTAAAAGCACATCTGGCCAGGGGAGGCCGAAGCAACACTCTTCTTTTGCACCTCGATGTAAGACAGCTGCGCCTGCTTGTGAAGGCCACTCTGAACACCTGGCCTCATCCTCCACCCCCATCTGCCCGAGGCCCAGGCCAGAGCAGCGCCCACCGCTCAGGACACCCTGCACGAGGAGGGACTCGACCCACCGCATGTGGGCCCGCAGCACCAGGCCCCTGCTTGGTCTCCAACCTCGTCTGGGTCCTCACGTCGAGCCCCACAGGGTGCGTGCCGGTGACTGCTCCTTAGAACCGTGGGTCATTTTAATGAAAACAAAACCCTAATACCGTGGCTCCCACTCATTTCCATGGTGTGGAACGCTGTGTCTGCTAATAAATGAGCCAGGCCATGGGGCTTCCTCCAGTCAGCACGCAACAGTGAAGCGCTTTAGAGAATGAAAATCGGCTCTCTGGAAGACAACGCAGCCCTGCCCACCAGTGTGGTCTAGGTGTGAGCCCGGGAGGGCATCCGGGTGTCTGCAGCGGGCCCGGACGACTGAAGGGGCCACGAGGAAGAGGGGGTGAGAGCTGCAGGGGGGCGCAGAGCCAACAGGGGCGTCTGGAGTCCTCAGCGCACACGAGGAGACCCGGCACCCAGACGGCCTTCACAAACGGCAGTGGGGATGCGCACGTCCCGCAGGACGGGCCGACCAGGAGCCCAGGACCCACTGACGCGGCAGAGGCTCTCCTGCTCCCAGTCAGAGCAGGACCTGACTCTAGGACGTGACACTCTCTGGACCCAACTGGAAACAGGGGGCGAGCGGGACAGACAGCACACACGGAGACTGCCAGCTGGCTCTATGATGCCAAGGCACCCAAACAGCTTCAATGCTCATGACAACAGGTGGAGAGCGCCATGCTCTGAGTCTGCAAACAGGCGTTTTCCTTAAGAGCCTTCCTCTGTCTCAGCCTGGCTGGTGGTGAGAAGGGACCCCCCTGGGCTTGGTTCGTCGTCACAACTTTAAGGCCAAGGACCACCCGTAGGATGAAGGCCATGTCTTCCCACAGTCTGGTAAGATATTTAACCAGACTGTTTAAATATCTTATTTGAATCTGTGTGTTTATTCCAAAACTCAGACTGGTTTTTCCTCAACAATACGCTTCTTTACCAAAACACAAAAACAAACAAACAAAAAAACCCCCAAAACCAAACCCGAGAGGAAAACAGCAGTCTAATCCTTGAATTTCCTTTAAGTAACAGCTCAGAGAGGAAAAGTCACATGCCCTCTAAGCAGTCTTGCTGAAGTTCTACTGGGGGAAACAGATACAATTCTTACAAAATGAATCAAGAGAACAAGCAAGACCAAAATTACTCTAAACCAAGAGCTAAGCTGATATTTCAAAAGCCAGTATGTAAGTCTGACCCAAGGTTCTGGTACACTAGCAATCCGCGTTTCTGAAAAAAGTATTTTCAAGTTAAACAAGAGGGTGTGGAGACTTCGGATCTGTGTGTTTATAACTTGGGAACAAAAAGCACTCTAACTTGTGCCTTTAGCGGGCCCCTCTCTCGCCGCTGCCTGTGCCGAGAAGACCACTGAGCCACTGGGCACACCGTCTGAAGGACCCTTTCCCTGCAGGCCTTCCTGCTGGGCCCACCACGGACAGCGCTCGCCCCCTTAAGGTCAAGGCCCCGCCTGAGGAAACCTGATGTGGCAGCCACTGCCGCCCTGCCTGAGACCTGGAGCAGCCGCACCGCGAGCAGGACGGGTCTGCTCGATGGGAAACAGCGCGCACGGGAGCGTGGGCCTGGAGACAGCGGGGGGACCTCCCTGGGCAGACAGCACGCCCCTCGTCCAAGCTGTAAAGAAGTGACTCTTCTGTCAGGAGCTGTCGGAGATCCTCCAGCAGCAGCGACGAATCCAAGGGGCCCCGTGCAGGGTGGGGGGCCGAGGGCCCGTGCCCACTGTGTCCCTCTGCAGTGCGTTCAGGGGCGCTGGTTGATGTTCCACAGAGTAACTGTGGGTCCCCACTCCTGCACACGTTGGCTTTCGTGGGAACACCTTTCTCCTCCTAATTCCTTGGGTGCTGCCGGCCCTTCCTGAAAGGGAGCATGCGCGCCCTGGGGCTCTGACGTCCTGGGCAGGGCCAGTGCCCACTTCCGAGTCCTTCCAGAGAACAGGCGCGAGAACAGCCTGCTGCTTCCACTCTCAGGGACGACTCTCGGGCACGTGCCTGGCAGCCCCTCTGTGAGGCTTCTCTGAGCCCGAGCCCCCTGGGCCAGGAGGCCCAGCTTCCCCAGTCCCGCTCCAGGGGCAGACAGGAAGACAGCCTCGGAGGGGACGGCCCTGGGGTCTTCATGGAGGAAATGGGAAGAGCCCTGACAGCTCCCTGGGGCTAGAGGAGCTGCTGGGACCAGCCAGAGGCAGAGGGTCAGGTCCTGCAGGTTCCAGGGGGGGCGGCTCCTCGCAGTGGAGTCCCCACAAGCAGGAGCCTCTGTGCAGGAGGAGCACCGGGCACAGACTCAGAAGCTCCAGTGGGTCTTGACACCTTCAGGCCGGGCTGGGCTGGGCTCGGAAGCCCCAGTAGCCCCTTTGTTCCACCCCCGTCACTGTTACAAAGAACGAAGAGAGCAGCCTGTGCAATTCGTTGGTGACCTAAAGCCACAAGCTCCATCATGAGGGAGAAGGGCCAGGTCCCCATCAGGCGTGAGCCAGTGACAGCCCCCTGCCCCAGGTGGGGCCTGGGGGGTGTGGATGGAACACAACACCTTGGAGGGCCTGGGAAGACTCCGAACGTTTCTCCAAGGGACTGAGAAGCCACCACAGGCCCCGAGGGCCCTGCCACCTGATGTGTTTGTCAGTCTCCCTGTGGCCGCCCCACTGAGAACAGCCTGTAAGGGGACAGAGGCTGAGGCGAGGGGTTCCGGAAGGGCTCTGGCGGTCACTCAGTGGGAGATGCTGTGGCTCAGGCTGGGCTGGAGAGGTGGTCAGACTCGAGAAAGCTCAACAGCAGAGGTCCTCGGCAGAGAGACACTCACGGCTGTGGTCGGTGAGTGTTCGGAGGGAGCACCCAGAGAACCGCTGCAAGGGGAGGCTGACGGCGGAGCCGACGGGGCGAACGGAGGGCACGGGACTTCCTTCTGAGCAAGAGGCAGTGGGAGAGGCCTGTGTGGCCAGGGGCGAGAGAGGCTTGCCCTGGGCATGTGCGTGGGGGGCGTGGGGTGGGGGGGGCGCTGGTGTCGGCACAAGCCCCGGACTGGAGGCAGCAGAGGGCACAGGCTGAGGACTGAGCCTGGAGGAGGAGGAGGAGCTGGAGCCGGCAGAGCGCCCTCCGACCCCTCTGACACTCACCCCAAGAGGAAGCAGCTGTCTCCGATCCCACTCACCACTAAAACCCGGGACCAACGCCTAAGAGAACCGCTGCCGGGACAGTAACGTTCATGTGTACTGGGGAACTAGGCTAAAAATGCTCAAGAACGGGGTGGTCGAAGTCAATATTAACGCTTATTTACCCTTCAAAGAAAGAGAAACTCAACCACTTCTTTGAAATAAAAATCTTCGTGTAGCCCTTACCCTTAAATGTCGTCACCGATAACTACTGTACCCCAGGTGGCACTGGTCGGGGCCTCCCTGGGCCCAGAGCGGGCCTGCGGGTGCCTGTGAGCTGACGCGGCAGCCCTGGGCGCCGGCGCAGCACCCCCTGCACAGACACCTTCACACGCAGGGGGGAGGGCAAGGAGCACACCCGTCTCTCGCGTGTCTGTGACGGAGGGGAGGCTCAGGGGACAGGCCTTCCTGCTGCCCAGGAGGGGAGGGTACAGGACAGGCTCCTCTCTGGAGGGTCGTCGCCCCGCTGCTATTTCGACTTTGATGAAAGGCAGCCTGTCACTTGATGAAAGGCTGGCTACTCATGCCAAACCTGAGTTCAGGCATTTTTCTTTTTTTAAGTATCGTCTGATGTTGGCCTCTCATTCAAAAACCAACTAACAAATGTATGTTTCAGTCAGAATGTGAGGGGAACCTCAGCGCTTGAGCCTGACTTGTCCAGAAAGGCTGAGGAATGACGTGTCCCAACAGCTGAGCCTTGCGTCTGTCACCTGAAGAGACGCGCGACTGACCACACTGGTGTCAGCACAAGAGGGTCGCTGGGTTGAAAACTGAAGCTTTGTTCGACAACTGAGACGTGTTTCCACGAATGCACGCTGGCAAGAACTGAGGCTGGACTGTGCCGTCGGGCAGACGGCGCAGACGGACACCCAGTGACCGACCGGAGGTCTGCGGCACTGGCCCCGAGCACAGTGCACTCACAACCGAGGGCGACCACAAGTGCTCCGAGCAGGCGTGACACTGGTGTGGCTGACAGACTGAAATGCAGGTGGCGTCGTCGGGGGACAGAGGACATGCTCCCGGGACTCTCGCACTCTAGCCGTCCACAGTCACCTCCTAGATAGTTCCAGCTGAGTGGCAAACAATGTCAACAGCAGTTCCACTGAGTTTCCAGTGGCCGAGTATCTAGAATCTACTGCTAATGGAACAAGAATGAAATGGATTATTACTCTCCGCAAAACCGCATTTGCTCATGTATTTATGACTACCGAGGATATACACAATCAGTTTACGACTAACACTGAGAAGAGTGCAAACCGCGAGCGGGAACACGTACACGTTACAGGAGAGCGGAGGGACACTAGGCGCGGAAACAGAGGCATGCTCTAAGTCACGGACCGCAGACGCCCATCTGCGAGGGGCCGCGAGAGCTGCGGCTACTGAGACACAAACCACCACTGAAGAGGGGAAATCGAGACAGGAAAACGTACCAAAGGGAAAGAAACAAGAACATACCAAATCTAGAACAGAGATTGCTGGCACAGCAGTCTGCTGCAGGTGACAGAGGGAAAAAAGAAAGAGGAAGTGTGAGCAGTTAGCTTCGACCTGTGCGCCGCCGCCAGCCCGTCTGCTGCTCTCCTGCCGCTGCCTCTGAAGGGCCCAGTGGGGGCGGGGGCGGTGCAGGCCCTCGTCTGCCACTCGGAACATCGACACTGGCTTTGTGACTAAGACACACCAAACTAAAGCAGGCAGAGTTTCCCTCAGCTCTCTGACTTGGAGACAGAGATAAATTTCAATATGTATTCAATGGTAAATACACAGATACTTTTACCTAAACTATCATGAAAAACTTTCCAAATATCATAGTTCACACTGAGAGGCTTAAAATGGACGGACCTTCAGTAAACACCTGGTCCTCACCGACTGAGTGCCTGCAGGACCATCGCAGTGCCGTGATCCCGTCACTGCTAATGGGATACGGCTGTGACGGTGACCAGCTACATGTTCACTGTTAACACAGGGCTCCATTCAGTGCTGGCACTGCAGGAACAGCAAAGCCATGCTATCCTTGTGTTGTGGGTGAGAGGCACAGGCCACAGACACACTCAGCATTTTTAACAGGCTGCCTGCAGCGCGCCTGCTAGGGACGGTGGCAGCCAAGGGCAAGTGCACAGCTAAGAGTTCACGACCACGGAGGCCAGAGCTGATGCCAGGTGTCAAGGCTCCAATCAAGCAGCAGCACTGGCAGGAGTGGTCGTTCTGAAGGGAGTTCACGCTGGCGAGGAGAAAAACGCCAAGGAAACAGGGGGCTAACGTTTCGGCCCTGACTTTAGAAACTGCAGTGCCAACACAGGTGGGACCCCACCTGGACTCGGGGCACAGCCGTACACTTGAGGAGCACACGCACACAACAGGGAGCATGTGTGCATGCGTGTGCGTGCGTCAGCGAGATGCCGCCGGTCTGCTCCGTGCCCTTCTGCACCGCCCCGCGGCTCAGTGTTCAGGGCAGAGAGCATCAGACAAGAGCTGGAATAGAAACAAAACCCGAAAGACAGAAAGACATGCTCCGCTGTCTTTTCAGAATCCTGCATTCTGCTTAAAAAAAAAAAAAAAAAAACACAACCCACTACGTGGTCAATAGCACTCTCTTCCAATTCATACTGATAACCGCCTCTCTGTCGACAGTTCTCCAGAGGCTAAAACAAAAACCTTAAATTTGGCAGTGTAACCATCTATGCACTAACCTAATACAAACTTTATTCTTCTATTTGACACAAAAGAACCAGAAGTTATTTGTACAATTGGGTAAGTGAAGAAAGTCCTCTGTTCTCAGTGTCGTGACTACCACGGAAACAGTGGGCGTGCCCCCCACTGCCTGGCCCCACCCGCTGAGAGCAGGCTGGGCGGGGACCATGCGCAGTCCGGCTGGCACTCTGGGCAGGAGGACCGAGTCTGCACGGCCCACAAGGCCCAAGATTTGACTAGCTGCCTGTTTAACAAAAATCAGTGTGCCAGCCCCTGATCAAGACTGTTACCTCCTGAACGGAAGAGTTGCAGAAGGAGAAACATGAGCTTGCTGGCTGAGACGGACCAGTCCCATTTGGACTGGGCAGGTCTGGGAAAAGCCCAGCCTCGACCCGGGTTCATTCCTAGGCCTCAGCTCACAGTCCTCACCAGACACCCCCGCCCCCCTTTACCCTGGCTCTGCGCTCTGCCTCCAGCCGCTGCATGAGCAGCATGGCGTCCACGTCGTCGTCCTCCTCCTCCTCGTCGTCCTCGTCCTTCTGCTTGGACTCCTGCAGCCGCTTCTGGAACTGCCACTCGAGCATGAGCTTGCGCAGGCGGTCGCTGTCCTCGGCGGTGCGCGCGGGCTTGCTCTGCAGCTCCCGGATCTCCCTGCTCAGCATGTCCACGATGTGCAGCTGCTGCTGCTTCTCCAGCTTCTCCTTGGCGTCCCGCTTCCACGGGTCCGGGGACAGACTGTCGCCGGAGGAGAGCTCCTCCTTGCTGATGGTGATGTACTGCAGGTCCCTGCGCTCGATCGTGCGGGGCTGCTGCTGGGGCTGCAGCTCGCGGATGACCGTGTCCGGGGCCCTCTGCAGCGTGGCCGGCTTCTCCGGCTTCGTGGGCTGCACAGTCACAGGAGAAAAGGGAGCCGGGTTCAGCGACTGCGTGCGCATCTGGCCCAGCTTCCTCTCCTGCTCCCGGCGCTTCCTCTCCCGCTCCTCCTCCAGCCGGGCCTTCTCCTTCTCGTACCAGCGCTGGTGCTCTTCCCTTTTCTTCCGCTCCGCGGCAGCCACCTGTGCCGACTGGGGGCCCGCCTGGCTGGCAGGGGGCGGTGGGAGAGGCAACTCCATCGGGATTCCGTCAAAATCACTGGCATAGTGCACAGGAGGTGGAGGAGGGGGTGGGGGCAGGTCCGTGCGGCTGGGCGGGGGGACCGCTGCTGGCACAGGCTGCCCGGTGGCCGGTGTCTTCCAGCGCCCAGGGCCACTTTTGGTCAGAGTGGACGCAGGCGTGCCTGCCTTGGACACACGGTCCAGGTGCTCTTGGCTGGACGCGCTGGAGCCCATGGAGGAGCTCTGATGGGTCCACATGTCGCTGTCCGACTTGCGGTCCAGTGCGGCCTCCACCCGGTGGCGCTCCAGGTGGTAAACTGTGTCTTCCCGAAGCTCCTCTTGGGAACGGGTAACACGCTGGGAAGAGACAAAGGAAGGCTGTCATATTTCAGCCACTCGTCAGAAGAAATTACGGAAACCCACAAACATTGCATCCCCAGGAGAAAAGTTCTTAGAAGAGCGAGTGCGCAGGGCAGAGGCTGAGCCTGCCCCGTGTGCGTCCTGGCGGCTCCTTGGGCTGGTGAAAGGAGCGAAGGGCGTGCACTCTCAAGGCACCACGGGGAAAACTGAACCACTTCGGCATGGTGTGCGCCTGCAGGGTGGACCCTACACACCTCCCACCTCGGGACCATCACGGGACCGACTCTGAAAGGGTGAATGTTTAGCCTCATCACTCGAACGGCAGCAAAAATTACCTCTCTGTAATAATATCCTAATTCTTCCAAAGAGTAACCATCCAACCCCAACCACGCCATCATCCATGGCTTTCGGGATGTCACCGCAGCTGACGCCTGGCTGCCCGCCCACCCCAACAGCTGCGTGCACGGTGCAGGGAGCCACATACACTAGGCCACCGGGGCCTCCTTTCAGGAGGGTCTACGATGGTGCACACCGGCTGGACACACATTTTGTGTGTGCTTCAGAGATGGAAATGAATACACTTTTCTCAAAGGGCTAGTCTGATGTCTGAAAGAGCACATCTAAGGTAAAAGTGATTCTTTGTGATGTCTGAGGCAAACACTTTCCCCTGCCCTGTTAAGGAGCGAAAACTAAAGATGCAAACCTGAAAATAAATGGTTTTCCTTTCCTTAAAAAACAACCAATGAAATACGAACTATTTCCTAAAAAAGCAGAAAGATAAAGAATCCCTGGAAAAACAAGCCTCAGGAACCATGAAGCATGGACAGCCAGCATGCGGCTGCCACTTCACCACACCTGCACAGACTTGGTGCGGGGCCTACCTCCCACACTGCCCACAGCTCTCCCCACAGCTGCCCCTGGTGACTCCCGGTCACGGCTCTGCTCCCGTTATGACCCACTCTAGCCCCTGGAGCATACTCCTGGCCCTCTCTGCTGAGTCCACCATAACTCTTGGTCCTCTCAACACCCGCCCCCACCCCGTCCCCGTCCCCTCGGGATCATCTGCCCATGTTTCGAGGCAGAAGTGGATGGCAAATGTCACCTGCATGTGCGGGGCTCAACCCTGCACTGCCCGGACAGCAGGTGAGACTGGGCGGGCCGCTTCCAGGGGCCAGCAGACCCCCTAGGGGCCCAGGGAGTGTGCTGGAGGAAACGGGGCACACAACCACTTCGCTGTGAAGGGGAGACAGGAAAAGGCCTCTGCTCACAGCCAACTCATGCGGCTACCAGGGCTGTGGGGGTGGGGGGGCTGTCAGGCCAGCAAGGACAGGGGCAGGATGGACCTAAGCAGGAGACGAGGTCCAGTCTTTTGGACAAGCAAGGTCTACGCCCTGAGTCCCTTCCACCCTCAAAAAACAGGGCTCTCTCCCCTCCTTCCTCCTACAGCCCCCTGTGAAGAAACCTTCCCCCCAGGCCCTGGGCTGTGTCGTCCTTTTAGGCTCGACCACAACCCCACCTCAGCCCCCAGCACCGCTGTCCACCCTGACCCAAGACTGGCGGACTTGGAGCCCCTCCGCGGGGTGGGTGCTTTGTTGTGCAGAGCAGACCGGACACACGTAGATCCCTCCCGGCACAACACCTAGTCACCTTTCTGAAAAGGAAAACACGTCTAACAACGTGCCTTCATCTAACTACCAGGACTGACCCCCCCCTTCTCCACTAACTTGGACAGAACTCAAATCCTCGGCTTGTCACTTGGTGCCCCTCCACGGCATTCCAGCTGCCCCTGCAGCCTGGAATGCCGCGCCCCACCCCCACCCTGGGGCTACCACCCTCCACGCTGGCTGTCCCTGGGCCTTCTCCCGTGCCCTGAAGCGCTTTTCGGTTTGGGCAGTTGGAACGTGGTCTGGAGCACAGGGTCCAGTCACACCTGAAAGGTGAGACAGCTCTGCCGCCCCAGGGCCTGGCTCTCTGCACTGTGTTACACGCACATCTCACACCCTGGCCATACCAGCAGCGTCACAGGCAGGGCCTCGAGGTCCCCCCGGGGCTCGGGCAGCTCTGGGTGGGAATGGAGCCCCGCACACTCCTTGGCTCTCCTTTCTTGCTCCCAGAGGCAGTGGCCTGATGGCCCCAGCGACTGTAAGCAAGGTTTCCCATCGCTAACCTCTCCTCCTTCACACAACGAGATGACAGGGTGTTCTCCCACATCCAGCATCCTGCCCTATCTGTCGCCTTCTTCCCAGTTAACCACAAAACCGGCAAAGAAGGCAATGCCGTCAGCAGGGCTGGTGGAGGGAAAACGGCGTGTCCCAGAGACTTTGCCCTGCTGGGAGTGCAGCGTGCGTGGAACCCCCCCCCTTCTAACCTGCATGGTGGCGCTGGGGTGGCTACTGTCCACGTGCACCTGAGGCTCCTCCTCGTAGGCGGGCCAGTGGCTGTGAGGAGGGGGCGGGGCTGCCCGGTCCTGGGACTTGGAGGCAGGGAAGGTGAAGTACTCGCGTGTGTAGGTCTGCGTGGGGATGGGGTAGGCCTCAGGCCGCGGGGGCGGCGTCTCCTCCTGGGAACCGTGAGAAAGACAGGCCAGTGAGCAAGCGTGGCAGTCTGTGCAGAGGGCTGATGTGACTTCCAGTGGCCTCTTTCACAATGTGGTCTATGTCCATTTGACAACCGTATTAGAAACTACAAGTGTTTTGATCCTATACAATGTAAATAATGAAAAACACTCTATTTTGCCCAGCCTTGTTCATCTACAGCTCTTTTACATATTCTATTAAAAAGAGAAAAATCAAAGCCCCTAGCTATCAACAGGGCTAGCCTGTGGCGACACTCGGGCTTGGCCAGGTGCTCTGAGAAGCTAAGGACTCAGACAGGAGAGAGGGCGCAGGGCGCAGACCTCCGCGCAGAGGTTTCCCGTGGAGACGGACGTTATCTTCACAGCTGCTCCAGGGGCGTACGCACTCCTCCCTCCAGGACTCGGAGGCTGATCTGGTGGGAGAGTCAGGGACAGAAATGTCACATGCCGTGGCAAGACGCTACCTAACGAGGGGTCCAGAGGGCAGTCGCCGTGCGCCACCCATCTTCACTCAACCTGTGGGGTGGCTGGCTTGGACAGGAACACGAGGCCTGGGAGGAACTGGGCTCCCATGTGCCCCCCAGCTCCAGAACAGCCACGGCCAGAGCACGAGGTCCACCTACAGACAGGGGCTGCCGCCAGCGGCACTACCTGCCCAGAGCAGGGACCGAATCAGACAGTTTCCTACTCCGTTCCTACATCCTGTCACAGGAACACCCGCCCTGACGGCCTCGGGAAAACAGGCCGCAAGCCCGCACGTGCTCGCAGCGGTTTCGTGTTCCCCATGAGCGCACCGGAGCACCCCTGCTCCTCTGTGGGCTGGGGGCAGGAGAGGAGGGGTCACGGGGGCTCTCTTACTTGCTACGTTGGGGCTGGACCGGTGGTCGGCTCTGTTCTTCAGCAGCCTGTCGTCGCCGGCTAACTTCTTGGGTTCGCTGTACTCTGCCCAGGGCAGCTGCGGGCTCTCGGGGGACCCGTTGGGAGCGGAGTTATGGTAGAGCTCGAAGCCTTCGCTCTTCGGTCGGGGTTTGCCGGAGCCCCGGCGATCCGACACTGAAATCGCAACATGTGTGAGAGGTCACTGTATGTTCAAGGTTTTTTCTGAGAAAGATAAACCTACAAATATCTAAAACTCCACAGCTAAACTTGTTTTTAGTGGAAAATAAGAGGATTTTTACGTAAGAATGAAAAGGTTTTCAAGTAAAGCAACACTGAACAGGCATTAATGGAAAAAGGAATTCTTTCAAAGCTTATTTTCTCATAAACTGACCTGTTTTAAGTAATGAAAGTAACAAAAGTTGCAAAATCTGTTCTAATATTACTTTTCAGAAAAGAAACCACTCTCTCACTTTAAGCACGTGAACTTTTCAATCATTTAGGGTGGTCATGGTCACAGGCCACATCTGACGGGGCCATTCGATCTCAGTTCTCTCAGCTTCCCGCTCAGTAACCCTGACTTACTACTGATTTTCAAGTTTCCTCTCTTTTCTCGAACCCTATCTAGTTCGCCTCTGAAATGGCAGGAAAGGCAGAACCCACGTAAGCAGCGTGTCAAGTGCCACGTTATGAAACGAGGAAGAACAGGCCACGGTGCCCTGGACTCCGCCTTGCTTCGGCTCAGGGAGCGGAAGGCCGGGTTCTCAGACCCTGCGCCACCTGGGCTTCAGATCCAGGCCTGAAGCCCCCAAACACGACCTCCAGGGGGAGAGTCCCACCCAGGCCAGACTTGGTGGGCGGGCCCCGTAAGCAGGTGGATTATGAAGACTGAGATGGAAAGTACGTAACGATTTAAAATATGATGTGAGGCGTCATCTTTCTTCCTGTGGTTTCTGAAGTAATTTCTTCAAAAAGTTCTAAGTTTATATGGATTTTTATTCTGAGATTTTTGATGTAGCTACAAAACCATGGTTCCCACCAACAAACTACTTTATTCAAATAACTGAGCATTCTATTGAAATGGTGAGCTCTCCCAGTAAGACAATCAGGTCTCAGTTCAGCGCCCTCAGGACTGAAGTAACGATGCATATGCACGGATAGTCCTTCGGTGGAGAAGTCTACCTGCTTTTTAAAGACTGCAGCCTGCGTTTGCTAGGAAAACAAAAACTCCATTCATGCCTCACTCCCGACGGAGTGTCCCCTGTGCCGGGCCTGCGGAAGCGGGGCTCAGTGGCTCTGAGGGGTCAGGCAATCTCATGAGTCACCATCGTGGCTCGCAGGGCCACACCAAACCCTGGCTCCAGCAAGCCACGCACACCCTCGATCTCCTGATCTTCAAAACGGGGGCACTGAACAGGGCAGCCCCACCTCCACAGGGTGCTCTCCGACAGTGAAGCAGGGCCTGGCCACGCGATGCCAGGCCGGGAGAGGTGGTTGGTGAACCTGAGGCTGGCAGTGGTCAGTGGACGACTGACCCCCATTCTCCCCTCGCAGGCCTCACTTACGTCTCTGCATCATCGGGGATGGCTGATTGAGCAGGGTGGCAAGACCGTGGTAGATGGCTCCTTGCTTTGCTACTTCCAATGTCACCACAGAACTGGTCCTTGTCATGAGCTCTGCTGCCCTAGGAAGAGAGGGTCACAAAGGTAAGAAAAAGGAAACATGCCACCTGCTCTGTCCCCACGGGAGCCTGGGCCCTGAGTAGCCCAGCGCTGCTCAGACCCACCACCCACTGCCCTCCCCTCCGAGGAGCCCCACACCCGCCGAGGCCACAGGAGGAGTGCAGGGTGGCGGCAGCGCTCACTGACACTGTGAAGGGGCCTCTCCCACCTGACAAGCGACAGGGCACGTGCACTGAGTTCTACACTCACACGGGGAGGACTTGGGACACAGCTCTTGTCATCTCCCAATCCCAAACTTTACTGTGAAATGTCCCTACAAGTGTTAACATTAAGCTTAAAGCAAGCAGACGAACAATACCTTTCCTGAGAGAGTCCCACCAGACTCCGCCCGTCCACGCTGAGCAGCTGGTCCCCGGCCGCCAGCCGTCCGTCCTGCGCACACACCGAGGCAGAGCGCGTCCGAGGTGGGCGGCGGGGGGAGAGGGAGGAAGAAGAATCAGGTAAGGACACTTCCTGCCTGTCTTCAATGGACAGTGCACAGTGTTGGGTAACCAGAAACACGGTGGAGTATCTCCTACTACGTTAGACACGACACACTGAGAATTCGCATCTTTCAAGAGTGTACTAACCACGTCTGCAGCACCTCCTTTCACCACGGACTTGACGTAGATCCCGAGTTTGTCCTGACCGGCACCCTGCGAGAAACAAGGGGAAAGGCCGCAGTGAGGACTCAGGGAGGAGCCCTCTGGGGAGCGCACAGTGGGGAGCACACTCCCACGCAGACGGCTGCAACACGAGTGCCAGCTCCTGTGCTCACGGGGGGGGGGGGGGGGGGGTCAGAATTGCAACAACGCCATCAGCAGGATCAACATTCTCTTCAGTGAGAGCAAAGGGATTAACAAGAAACGTGTCTGTTTTGTTTCCAAATTAAGAAAAATCACTGTTTCCCAGTCAGGGCACATGCTTGGGTTGCAGGCTGGTTCCCTGCAGGCCAGTTCCGAGCAGAGGACGCATGAAAGGCAACCACACATTGATGTTTCTCTCCCTCTCTCCTTCCCCCCTTCCCCTCTAGGGATAAATAAATAAAATCTTAAAAAAAAAAAAAGAAAAATCACTGCTGAAAAATCAGTCAATTATCAACAAGCCTTGAACAGACCAGAAACTACAGGTGACCTAAGACTGGCCGCGCACGGCCTCAGTGGTGAGTGAACCAAACCATTCTCAGGACAGAGACTGCTCATCACCTTAATACGAAAGCAGTTAACCACAGCGCTTTCACACTCTGGCATCTACCTAGACCCCCTTACACACTTAAGAATTTAAACCAAGACAAAATGCACTGTGGCAAACAAGAGAGACTCCGGTGAGAGATCATGCAGCAAACACTGTGCATGGCTGCATGATCTTAGGGGCAGGCGCCGGGGCTGTGAATAAACCCAGAGGCCCCAGGCCACAGCGAACACACGGGAAGGGGCCCCCACATCCCGCCACGGAGCATGAGGAACTTCAGGGAGACCAATGTCAGAAACAGACACCACCGTTTCTGAGAACGGCTGATGTTCTGCTTGCACAGCACAGCCGGGAACCACGAAACAAACTCTGGACTATTTACTGGGGCCCAGAGGAACCAAGGTCACGTGTAAGCTCGCATGGAGCTGCATGGCCAGCTCCCTGTGGCGGCGTGTTTCCCAGTCATGCCCTCTGCAGCGGCCGAGAGGCCATGTGTCATGAAAGCAACAGGAGAAGAAGGCACCACGGAAAGTTATGAAGGCGGTGACCTCCACAGATGACCTAATGAAACAACCAACTACACTGCTCAAACTACTCAATTTCCACCCGAAAACTCCTCCTTCCTATTAGGCTGTAGTGCGGGTTTGAAGAGGAGTCTGACCAGTGAGCGAGCGAGCGAGCACGGTGGAGGGTGCCCCTGGCCCTCCCCTCTGGGAACACCCAGCACCCAGCATGCCGCTGTTCCATGAGCCTAAGACATATGTCACACACGTGAGCCTCCCACGTTTCCCACCTGATCCCCCCCAACACCTTCTCTCTCCAGGTCTGTGACGCAGACCTGCCTGGGCCCAGACGCCCACGCGACGCCCTCAGAAACCATGCAGCACTCCCAACACGAGACAGCCACGTGCAAACGTGGGTCCTCGCCTGGGTTCCTTTGCCATTAAATTAAAAGCAAAACAAAAATTTTATTCGGAGAGTTAGCAAACCTTGCACTTTTTGGTAATTTGCAATTTCACAATGTAAAACACACAGGAGGCACTTAATAAATGGCAACTTTCTGAATTTATCATCCCTTAGCAAAGAGCAACAAACACACCGCCCACCTGACCTGGCATCCACCCACACTGTGTTTCCCGGAACGTGGGGACTGGGACACACCGCAGGGAATCTCTTCTAGACTCCCGTCCCTGTGCCCACTTGCTGAAGCAGGAACTCCTGCACACGGACTCCCCTACATGCTGAAAAACCACACCCTGCACTTTATGCAACGTATGGTGACCGTTCTGTGTGACAACTCAGCTGTCAGACGGGCAGTCCCTCCCTCCCTCGACCACTCACTGAGCACCCGTGCTGTCTGAAGCTACCCACGCGCCCATGAGCGAAGCCCGAGTGCCCCTGCCCGCACAGGCTTGTGTGTTCGAGAGTGCTATTCTCCGCAGCCGTCAAGCACTTGAAAGCCCTCTTTTTCTGCAAATATGACATGATACTTATTTACAGCTAATACCCTACAGGCCAGAGCGTTAAAACAGGTTCTTAAACCACCCTTCCTCCTTCTGTTCCCTCTGTGACCAACATAAAAGCAATGTTCACTGAACTTCAGAACACACAGCTACCCCAACTCGGCTTCACTTTCCGCAGTTTCAGTTCCCGCGTTAACCAGATCTGAGTATTACATGGAAAATTCCAGAAATAAGCGACACAGAAGTTTGAACAGGTGCCATTCTGAGCAGCATGTTCATGAGCCCTCCAGCTGTCCCAATCCGCCCCACCTGGGCCATGACTCACCCCTTTGTCCCGCCTCTCCAAGGTGTATACAGCTGGTCCATCGGACATTTCACAGCCTCGCTGTTATCCCACCCGTCTGAGATCACATCCACATAACTTTTACACAGTATGTTGTTCTGTTTTATTATCACTGTTCATCTCTCCCGTGCCTACCTTATAAATTCAACCTTATCACGGGCGTGTATGTCTAGCAACAACACAATACATAGAGTATGGTACTACACCCTCGGTTTCAGGCATCCACTGGGGGGGCTGGGAATGCGTGCCCGGTGGGTACACGAGGATGATGGTTCTGGTTTTCAGCATGAACGGGCGCTCACCTGCATCTGCACGCAGAATTACTCTTGTGATTCAGATAATAAAAACAACAAGGCAAGCCCTCCTCCACTCCCCAGCTCTGTATAAGATCATTATTGATGAAAAAAAAAACGCCTCATCTACCTGCACAAACTGTAACAATATAACTCTTCTAAGAAGTCACAAAACAGAATGCTGTAAGAAAATGAGAGGAAGAGTCCTTCCTTCTCCTCGCACCCGAAGCCCTGCGCACACACCTCTGTCGCCCGTCACTGTGCCCTTCCGCTGCAGCTCCCGCCCCGGGAGATGCCGGTGCTCCCCACGCACAGCCCGCCGAGGCTTCCCTGGGGCACTACTGTATGTTTTGATCTCTTCTTCTAAATCAGCGACCTCACACCGAGGGGAACTACTAGCCCTGTTATTTCCTGACCACTCCACACTTTAGACAACTTAATACATAAGCTCAAATTCAGCAAACTCCCTATTTAAATAGCATTTAGTCCTAAAACATTTGGAAACAGGTAATCGATTACACTACAGGCAACATGGAAATTAATAAGACTAAGTGAAACAGTCCAGTGAAACTGACCATGTAACAGAGACACTGACAGCATCGTCACTGCCACGCCTTCAGACAGACAGAAGTTGACAGTATAAATTTCAGAAAACTTCTGGCACAATGTGGATCCTGTCCTCGTGACTGACCCACTGGTCACCCGAGGTCCCACCTGCCTTGGGAGATGCTCCTTCCTACCACCCTCGGCCTATGACTGTGGGGCAGCCCCCGCAGGAGGGGCTGCACGCCCAGGACCCACGTCCAGGACGCACAACACACGGACGTGAGCCGGACCAGGTCTCGTGGCCCCGAGGCGGCCCTGTTCCCCTGCTCCCTTCACACACAACCTCTTTCTGATGCATCTGCCCAAACCCTTCATCCTCCAAGCCCCAGGCTCACCTGCCACTACCTTCCCAATGTCAGACCAGATTTCCTCTGCTCCCTCCGGACGGTTGCTTTATCCTGTGTCCAGCTGCTTGGGAGAAGGCGCCTCCTCAACTCCCTTCCAGAGCAGCTTCCTTATAAGGCTACCAGAACGCAGTCAATTCCTCATGTTGAAAACAATCACTTATCAGGAAGTCTGAGTTGCAGGGAACACAGTGAGGTAGGAAGCAGCCGTGATATCCATTATGTGAGTTGGTAGATAACAGTGAAACGCTGTCACGCTACCGGTTTACAAAGTGAGAAGCCTTGAGCACTTGGGATTCTGGCACCAGAGGCACTCTCTCCAGAGTGACACACACACCTGTGACGGTCTGGTGACGCGTGACGGGAAAGGCCCGGAACTGAAGAAGTCACAGGTGTTATTTTCTACCTGAGGGGAACTTATCCACATCCCCAGTTACAGGCAGTTCTTTGAATTCCAAGTCGGTTCCATCTGTAAGCAGTGTATTTACTCGTCACAAAAGGAGGTCCAGGGAAACAGAGACGTGCGCGCACGCAGAAGACACAGGAGCACCCCACAGGTCACCGACAAAGCATCGAGAAATCTATTAGTAAAAAATACTCCTGGCGGCGGAAGACGGGTGCAGAGTGAAGAATCGGAACCTAGCAGGTCCGAAGAGGCATCCGAACTGTAGCTGGCAGTGAAGCGCGCTAATGCGGTCTCCAGCAGCACCACCTCCCCAGCCGGCCCCGCCTCCCCCTGGGGCACAGGCAGGGCTGCCTTCCTGCCCACAAACGCCCGCCCTTTCTGCAGCCCAGGGGCCTCTGTGGGAATGAATGCCCCGCCCCTCCCCCCAATCACTCAAACCCTAGCTGTACTTCAGGCGCAGCTCAGAGTTATGAACTGGCCACTGGCACCTGTAAATATGCCTGCTGTAGGAGGGAAACCGCAGCTCCCCTAGTGATCGTTTTAGGAAAACAGCACCACAGGCCGGGTCCTTGGAGGTGGAAGCGCACTAAGGTGAGCCGGACAGCTGCTGTGTGTGTCACAGACCACCGTGGGTCACTATTTCCAACTGGACGCCACAAACCCAACCAGGGCAGGGGCGATCCAGGCTGTCAATTTGGCCACAGCAGTCTTGGCCTGGAATGTCCACCCTGACGGGGGGACAGACAGCCCACGAGCTCTGCCTCACCTCTGCTGACTGCTGCCTGGCCTGGGCACAGGTGGGCTCTCGCCAGGCGCACCACAGACCATCCCCTGCAAGCCACTGTAATTTCTTAGCACCACGCAACTCTCCTGCTACCTGCCCCCTGCCCTGCTCCATCTGGATACAAATCAGAACACTTAGAGATGGTAAAAATGATGTATGAAACAAAGTGAATTCACTTCAGAAATAGTAAACCCCTTATGTCTTATTTCTAACAATATGCATACAA